TTCATTTTTTTTCCAATAAATATGCTGTCATTAAAATGTGTTAATATAAAAAATATATTTTAAAATACAGAAACAAAATAATTTTAATAAGTAAAGATTCTGAGAGTATTGAAGGGGATCCAATAATAATTGAATATACAGTATATTTACTGTAGTAACCGCAAATTATATTTTATTATATGATATGATTAATATCATGGTTTTAAATATGATGGTTTCATTCTAAACATGGTGATTATCTCTAATATGGACACCCAACATAATATATGATATTTACCATCTGAATCTAACCATGTCGTCAACAAATGGAAAAGTCAGCCATCTATTAATTATCATGTTAATTACTGTGCGCCTTTAGCCCCAACAGAAGGGGCAAAAATACCATACTTTTACATATTCTTTCGTTATTTAAAAACTGTTGCTTTAATTATCTTAAACAAACCTGCAAATCTTGAACTGATGGTAAAACGAATGACATTATTTACTGTCTTTTCATTTATTTTGAAAGATGAAGCTCGCGATTATGGTAAGGGGCGTTACATTTCCGACGAGTGCTTGTGGTGTTCGCCCAATCACAATGCACTGGGTCAGCTGGCCAATCAGAGCAGACTGCGCTTGTCGGAAGGAGGGACTTTGTAGAAAACGAAGCGTTTGAGAGAGGCGGGGCATAGAGGACCTACAATAATGTACAGTATTTGAAAAATAATGTGTTTTTTGAACATTAAAGCATGTCAACATATTCTGTTACACCAAATACACAAAATAATGATCTTTAAAAAAGCATCATAGGACCCCTTTAAACAAAACTGAATATCATAAAGAAGACCTTTGTCTCCAAATATATGCATTAATTTGAGCGATTCTCATTTGCTACTTAACCCTTTAACCTCCGTCAAGTTATCTGTTATCAGTTTTGATATGGTAGTGTAGCCAATGCATCCATTTATATATCATGCCGTCCTTTTATTATTGTGATAGTGTTTTATCTTTATTAGTTTATAAAATGGATGTCGCGGCTTGAGTTTTCATCCCTGCAATTCTGAGATGTCCCAGACCACGTTAAGAGGTACGTCCTTCATTCTTTCCTGTTAGACGCTGTCAAAACATTCACTCTGAGCCACGGTTAAAGAGTTCTTCCAGTCCCCAACTGTTCCTGTAATACAGCATTAATAAAACATTTTCCCACTGCAGCTGATATGTCACACTTATCACACTTAATAATGAACTTTTAAATAATGAGCGATTTCAAAATCTTCTGTCACTCCTAGAAGAGACGTTGCATTAATAATGATTAGATTGTCCACAGGCCTGATTGAGACATGCAGGGAAAATACTAATGCTTAGAAATATGAAAATGCTTAAAAGACCAACTATTGATTTTTCACTTTTGTCTGACCTTTGCGCAAAAAAAGTCTTTTTGGACGGTCTGTGACAGTCAGAGAAAGGAATTCATAGTTGGCCAAGGGGTCTTTCTTCATGTGCTTGAACGTGGCTGTTTCCACCACTTTATCGATCGCTGCGTCTGACAGATTCTTTCCCACAAACTCACAGATTTTCACAACAACGGATCTGAGGTCCTGATAAAAGATTTGTACATTTCATACAGATATTCATATACCGTATATCCAAAGATAAATACAATAACTCCAAAGAAAGTTTGATGGAAAGCTCAAAGGGTCATAAGCCAAACCAGTCTCACCTTGATCATTTCTTCATAAGTAAGGATCAGGATGTTGTATTTGTCTTTATTTGTGATCCATCCTTTAACTTGGTCAAACCAACAGCCACCAATCACTACAAACCAGAAACAGGCAGCATGGCCACCAAAAACAGGCTGAGAAGAAAATGTATTAACTGCAAAAAACTTTAAGAATTAAGGTGAGTTATTAGGTGTTAAACCAAGAATTAAATAACAGGAACCCTTTAGTCCTGTGCTACTATTTTCCAGAACTGCAAACTACATGGAGTCTTCAGAAGGTTCTCAGATACTTTGCTAATTTAAAGAATCTATAAAAGATTGATTGACCTTTGATGAAGGTCCACCTTCCGAAAAACAAAATGTGTTGTGATTGGTTAGCTGTTCCAGTGCGTTGTGATTGGCGAACAGCTTAGATGGTGTTTCAGTACTGCCACGCCCCTTGCTCCATCTTTCAACAAAAGCTTTTAGCGAATCCAGCACTGTACTCCCCCTTATGTTGTGGAAGCTGTCCTCAGTAAAATGCGCAGCACACAATAGCAAATTGGGGTTATAATGCTCAGGAACCGAGTTAAAAAATAAATTGCAACCACTGTTTCCTGACATCATCCGCTTTTTTTCCTGACAAAATCAATATCATGCAATATTTCTATCTGCTGAATGTAAGCTTTTCCATATTCCAAGCTTGCCTGATGCACTGGGGACATCACATGCATGTGCAAGTCATGAAAATAAATCTAGGAATGATTTGATTGTTGGATTTTAAATCAGCGTGGTTGAGGCATCAAAAGTAACTAAGCTGTTTTTTGGATGGTAACTTAATATTATTACTGAAATCTTATTAGTTACACTACTAGTTACTGTAAAAAGTAATATTATTGCAGTAACTAAGTTACTAGTAACTATTACTTCCCAACACTGTATATAGGCCTAAGCTACAGTGTTTTGGCTCTTACTGCATCCTGTGAAGAATTTTTCCAGCATCTCATCGAAGCTCTCAGATGAATCCAGGTGATTCATGTTGTTGGAAAAATGGAAATATGACACCATGACATCTTTAGGGTTTCTCATGACATAGATGACCTGACAGCAAAGACAGATGTATTAAAACCGGTGCATGACATCAAGCCATCGATTGATGAACATATACCCACTTTTCCTTTTCTTTGCAGCATTTTGGGCATCAGCGGCTGGAGTAAATGAGAACAGAAGAGTCTTGGAGATGGACGTGTGTTGTAATCTCTTCCCGTTATCCGATACTCTAGCCAGGGCATCTGGTCATATGTGATTTGGTCGGCTTTGTCCGGGAAATCTTCAGCATATATTAACGTCATGATCCGTTGGGTCCATACCGTACCTGAGAGACCGGCGTAGAGTCCAGCATAAAATGCTTATGTTGGACTTGATTGAATTTTTGGTATATAACTTTAAACATTTATGTGGTAATGCAAATTCACACTGTTCCGCTAGCTTAAACTGTGGCAAAGTCAAAGTATGCTGAAAGTTGGACTACAGAGGTACTTTGAAATAGAAATCTCATAAATACAGCCTAATATCTCACTTACCGGATTTGGGGAAGGTAACAACAAAGACATCATCGTCCTTCGTTTCAAAATCCACCAAACTGTCAATATATTCTGGAGTAAGATCATGATTGTCTGACAAAGTTAAGACTGTTCCTTTGTATGTGAACATTTAGTCACTAAGCATTTTGTATTCCTGCTGAGCCATGTTTGACTAGTAAAAAGCGTAGCGGAGAAGACCTTGATTTATCCAGGGCCAGATTTCACTGAGAAATGGGCTGTTAAAAAATAGCCAGTTAAAGTGTTATTTATTTTGGTGTAGTTCATGGCCGACCTTTGGACTCCTTGCGTCAACCTAATATTATCATTTCAAATAGTAAATGCAGTAGTTAAGTTCAGAAGGCCAATAAATTCACAAATATGAATGCAAAGACATGGTGTAATGCACATGCAATGCACTGGTTGCATGTGGTCCATCTTTATACTTTCAATAATATTCTAGATCAGTGATTCTCAACCTTTTTTACTTTATTGGCCCCTGTTGTACAACACAATATTCAAAGGCCCACTGTATGTTCTGAAATAAAAACAACAAAGGGAGAAAAAAGAAAATTTGATTTCAGTTTACATCTTGGTTTTATTATTATTACTTTTTTTAGCATTTTAATTTAGATTAGTTAAATTATTTTAATATATTAACAATAATTTATTCATTTAAATATTTTAAAATCTTTCTGTGGCCCCTCTTGGAGGTTTGCTGAGGGCCCCTTTTGGGTCCCGGTCCCCTGGTTGAGAACCACTGTTCTAGATATACTAAGAGAATAAAACATCAATAAAATGGTCATAAACAGGCTCAGAAGGAAAGGTTTTATGTGATGTATCTTTTTCATTTCTGTTTATATGGGATCATTTAAGCCTAATGTAAACCTAACACTGAAAACAACACTGTTAAAAGTCATGCAATAGGTAAATAAGCGATGAGGGCAGTTTAAACAAAGTTCACCCTAGTGGTTTGTCCCAGGTTAACCCCATCATAAAAACACTTGCGGTTTTGAACGAAGACACAAAGACAGTTTGAAGCAAAGAGATTGATGCACACACACACACACACACAAAAGCTGGGAGCAACTCATTGACTTATTTATAGGTTTAAATGATCTGACACTGAAATTATTATTTAAAATTTAATTATAATCATTTTTAAAAATTGATATTATCTATGTTTATGTCATGAACTGGTGTTTGCTGACATCTACCGGTCATTTTGTTGAACTGCGGGACCTTAGAAATATCAGAAGGGTCTACAACTAGTAATAATAACAATTACAAAATACATGAAATACAATTATTATACAATTAATAGTTAAAGCATTAGGAAGTGGAGAAGGAAAAATCACCCAACCAGTAAGAACTAAAGATAAAGCAGGTTAACGTGTTTGAGTATTCATAAATGTTGTTATTATTATTATTATTATTATTATTATTAGGCTATATAAAAATAGAGTATTTATGAATGGTTATCGCGTTACATTTGCACATTGTATTGTATATGTGAAACCAAATAAAACCTGCGAGAAGCAGCTGAGGCTCTGTCATTTTTTATTTGACCCCAGGAATGTTTAGTCCACTTCAACGGATATCCAGTGCTCTGGCGGATAATAGCCTATAGTATTTACTGCTTAGGCTACCCGTTGCATGGCGTGAATGCATATTCAGCGTTTTTTACAATGTACAACAACTGCAAAGAAATCTGGTCCTAACCGAACTAAAGCCAGAAGATATACTAAGATAATAAAATATCAATAAAATGGCCACAAAGAGACTCAGAAAGAGAGATTTCATGTGATTTATCTTTGTCATATTTCTTTATATAGGATAGTTTCAGCCTAATTTAAGCCTTACATCAATAACGACACCGTTAAAAGTCATGCAATAGTTAAATAAGCAATGAGGACAATTTAAAGGGGACATAACACACACAGTTTCACCCAATCTCATGTTAATCTTGAGTACCTATAGAGTAGTACTGCATCCTTCATATCTCCAAAAAGTCTTTAGTTTGATCATATTTATAAAAAAAAGATACAGCTTTACAATTCTCTCCGGAAACAGCAGAGCTCCTGGAGGCGAGCCATGGGTGGAGCCAAAGATTGACCAGCACTTGAGCTCGGACTGCCAACAAAACACAGACATTTAATGCAGTTTCACTTACCGTCTACAGTTCTGAATCATGACCGGGATCTTTTATAGCTGGGACCGCTCCATCCTTCAGTATCAAACAATGTACTAATCCAGCATCGAACTGGGCCTTGTTTATAAAATGTCTGTCAACAAACATGCTTGTGAAACTGCTTTGATGCTCCGGAAAAACAAACTGCATCCACTGTTTACATAACGTTGGGTTCTTTAGGAAGCTGAACAAAGTTATCTTTCCCTTACAACCAAAAACACACTTCTTTGTAGATTCTTCCCGTGCGAGTCCTCTTCCGGGAGAAATGCCCATATAAGGAGTTCCACCCTTGTTTACGTCATGAAGAGCCACTATCGGGAAAAAATCTCCGAAACTTGTACGAACCCGGAAGTACGATTTTTAGCACAGAAATACTCCGTCATACATCCAAATTGTTTTTTTTAATTTTGTCCATGCTTAGCATGAGAATCCGACTCTTTAACAGTGTAAACAACTCTAAATGCATGAAACAGCATTGTACCTCCCCTTTAAAAAAGTTCACCCTATAAAAATTACAAAATTTAAAAAGTATAATTATTAAACAATTCATTTTAAGTTAAAGCCTTTAACTTACTGCATATAGGAGGATTTTTTTTAAAGGGGTCATATGATGCGATTTCAATTTTTCCTTTCTCTTTGGAGTGTTACAAGCTCTTGGTGCATAAAGAAGATCTGTAAAGTTGCAAAGACTAAAGTCTTAAATCCAAAGAGATATTCTTTATAAAAGTTAAGAGTCAGCCACGCCTACCTAAAACGGCTCATTCTAACACACCCCCACATGTCTACGTCACGATGTGGGAAGATTTGCAAAACGCCACCCAAATGTTCACGCAAAGAAAGAAGGCGTAACTTTGATTCTCGCTGTAGTATTGTTGTTGCTGCTGCCGCCATGTCCTGAAGACGCTGTGTGCTTCGTTGTGAAAGCGAAACTACTTTGTTTGGCCTTCCAAAAGAGGACACAACTAGAAATCAGTGGTTAAGTTGTATTTACAACACTGTTCCAGAACACTTCAACCCAAATATTCAGATGTGTGCAGCGCATTTTATGGAGGACGAGGACTTTCCTGAGAGAATAGCCTACAATGCCAGTGTCTGTTTCAATAAAGTGGGGCAATTCCAACTTTGCAAGGGTCTGGTGCTTCTGCCTCACAGCCTGTAAGTAAGTTTTCATATTTAAAGAATTTGCCACTGATGATTCAAACGCGAGTTTTGAGCAGTGTAGAGTAGCGCTTGTTGTTTGCAGACATGGTTTTATGTTTATGCAGCGCGATATGCAACGAGTAAAAAGACAGTATAAGTCATTATAATGAGTAATTATGTCCCCACTGGATGCAACAAATGTCTCGTTTGTAATGGTTTTACTGGTTTTGTCTCTTCGTAACATTCTTGTAACATTTCCGTCACACGCTGACGCTTGAGGTATTCAGCCAATCACAACGCACTGAATAGCTGGCCAATCAGAGCACACGTCGCTTTTCAGACCGATGAGCTTTGTAAAAATCGACGTGTTTCAGAAAGGCGGGGCATAGAGGAGAAACAATAATGTACAGTATGTGTAAAATAGTGTGTTTCTTTAACCTTAAACCGCATAAATACATCGCATTACACCAAATACACAACATAATGTTCTTTTTAGCAACGTCATATGACCCCTTTAATTGAAGTGAATTGAAAAGAAAAATCAAAAAGGTGATTAAAATGGTGAAAAACGATTTAAAAGTTATGCCATCCACAAACTATGCTAAAGAGGTCACATTCGTGTTCTTTTCACACTGCAAATGACCACGAGAACCAGACGAGTCATCTGCACAGACCCTGTGGCCGGCTTCGACTCCTTCACCATGTGATGTCAGGGGCGGACTTACCCATTAGGCAAAGGTAGGGCCCACCTTGGGCCCCCAAAAGCCAAGGGCCCCCTAAAATGCTTTTCATATAGGATATGCGCATTAAGTGTTGACACGCGAACGGTTGCTGTTTGTGGTGTTTGTTACCACGACAACCGTCCGAGACTCCGAGTTGAACGTGCTTTTTGTGTACCCTGCTTGAGGGAGATGCATCTGAAGCTGTAATTAAATACTGAGAAACGGTGTGCATTATAAGTTTATAATTGTTTTAAATGCCGCTTACTCATTTATGAGAAGGAACCAAGTAGAGGACACAGTTACTTTTTTGGTTGATATAATGTGTGTAAATGTATAATTGCCTTTCATTATTTTTTCAGTTTTATTTAAATTTGTAGTTAAAATAACATATAATAAATGTATTTTAAAGTTTAGAATTAGACAGCCTTTGCACACAGGCTTATGCTGGTAACTCATCAGTGGATTTTCCTCGTCAATATAGGCTATATTTTTTTACACTTTTCTCATTCTACATTTCTGACATTCCAAAAGCGCCTCCTACTGGCAGAGAATGAATGTTCATTTTCAATAATCCAGTCTGTAATTTTTGTTCAGATCAATGCGAAAATCCACCCACATAACCCCGTTTTAAATTAATATCATAATTTATACTTCTGGCTGACCCCTGGTTTAAACGGTCAATTGTGAGGTTTATTATTTTATAATTTTTGATTTTGTGAAAACCTGAATATCAACTGTAAATCACTTGCTATTTCGTGGTCTACAACATGAAAGAAAAGCATTATAACATGTATATGAAAAACATTGGACACAACTATGGGGCACCATTGTGCAGCAGCAAGCATCACAACAAAAAAAGGAACCTCAAGGAAAATGTGTACAAATGTATAGGGCCCCATTCCTATATTTTGCCTGGGGCCCCCAATTCATTAAATCCGCCCCTGTGTGATGTAGTCAATCATCAAGCGGAAGGAACGGGATGTTCTGAGTGATGCCAGTCCAAGTCTGACTTGTGATGCAACCTGGAATTAAATCGCACCATGTTGGTTTGGTCTGGCCAGAGGAGAACTGGCCCCCTGACTGAGCCTGGTTTCTCCCTTGCAGTGTTGCCAAGTCCGCTGTTTTCCTGCGGAATTGGGCTACTTTATCACTGTTGCCGCGGGTTGTTTTTCATGTCCGCGGGTTAAAGCGTCCCCGATAACGTGATATTTATCCCCTGGAGTGCGAATTTTACTAGGGGAACCCCGCCAAAAACGTGTACTTTACCCCCCGAACACGATTTTTAAAGGAGAGCCACCCTCGAAAAGCGATTGGGCTAGTTTTGAGTAGCAATTGGGCGGGTTTTGTTGTGAAAACCTGGCAACCCT